ATGTACGAAAATAAGTTTAAATAATAACATGGTGCGCAAGATGTGATCGTTGTTTTAATTACTAAGCGGGGAAAGTTCTGACGATCAGAGTGATGGATGCATCAGTAGGAATACGACCAGTTGAAAACACATGCTGGAATCTAGTGTTATTCGTAACCAAAGAAGCACCTCAATATATTTGAAGATAGTATGTGTTTCCAAGCATGGCCTATCCAGCATATAGGGAAGTCGTTTTTCAGTAAAAAAACTCCTGTCTTTTTTAATGGATATATCGTCTTTTTCTGGTTCTTGATGACCAAAAACTTCTTTGAATATGTTATTGAGTTTTATCATGGCACACTTATGAAGCCATTGCTGTTCTCAGTATTGTTCACTGGGAATGAATTTATCGCTTTACTGAACAGTACTCCGACTAACGGGTACCTACAGCTATCAGAACAAAAGCGTAGTATTTTACGTACTGTGAAATCGGTGTGGATATTCTATTTAACGAACAGACAATCTTTAGATATCCCAAGTAAGTAAGAATTTGGTGATTTGAATACAAAGGCATGCATCTTATCAAGAACGGATTAAACATATTGACAAGTATTTATTTACGTCTGACAGACTTTAATCCATTCGTAAACTGCTCCGAGAATGTGAATCATTTTTAAAAGTTTCCAAAACAAGGCGAATCAAGAAATTTTCCCAATCAGTGGAAATATCCAAAATATAATCCAAGACATGATGCACAGACTCTAAGTATAATACACAATATATCAGGTAAGATTCTAACTAAAAATGAAACTCTATTATTACAGAAAGGACTGAATTTCAACATAAACGGAAAACCAATTCAAATCCATAAACTAGCACCAATTATCGAACCAGTTTTGGAATCACTGCCTACTTATGAAACAGAAACTATGGGCTGAAAAACATCGTCTAATCTCAAAATAAAGTGAAACACCCTTTTATATCCTTAAACAGGAGTTTCAAACCCTTAGAAATTTGAAGAGATACTAAAGTGAGGGTTCTTGCTGATTGACTCCAATCAACTAACATTCATCAACGTGCATCGCGATGGTGAGCCTCCCAGCTTGGAGAAAACATTGCAAAATGATCGATAAAATTCTGTCAGCAATTAGGAATAGACAAAATGTAATTGGCTATTGTCTAGTGACCAATTAATGTACAGTAATTATAAAAACAAAAGCTGATAAACGGAATATAATGGTCGTTATGAGGAGAAGAAATTATTATTATTGCCTATGTGAACAAAAATACCCTTTACTTCCTGAGAACCGCTAAACTGCGTGAAGTGAAACTTATACGCAGGCTAATTCAAAAACTAAAACTTATAGTGGGTAGTCCCACCTCTTTCAAACTCAAACCTAACTCTTAAATAGCCTCAATATTCTACTGTCTACCTGTGGTTACAAACTCCGTGTTATATTGTTTATTTGGTGTCGTCTAGGTTCCTAAACTTCAGATCACAACTTTCAACTGAAAATGCTAAAGTATTCTATTAACACACTCCGGCAGTCCTCTGATTACTAAGAATTAAAAAACTTTAGTTGGCAAATGCAACAAAAACCAATACAAACAAAATGTCTATAAAATTACTAAATAACTGAATTATGCTCAATATAATTGAATAAACTGGAAATAGTTCAATTATGAGGAATTAACACGCTTGACAGACAAAAGTATTCATGCTGTTACTCATAGGAATACATGGTGGCTATCATCATCATCATCAACATAGGACCAGGCATTACTGCGTAACGGTCCGAGTTGCCACACCTCATATCAGCACATCAAGTAAAAAGGTAGTGAGGTGAAGGATGAAGATAAGTGAATGCAGTCAAAAGAAATATAAAGTACGAGAAGAAAGGAAAGAGGAGTGACAAAATAGTGAGATTCGGTATAGCGTTGTTAAGATGAGGATAATGTGTGTATACATCTGCGCCACTGACTTCGGTTCTGAGCCATATCACCTAGGGTCTCCAACCACTGGTTCCTCTTGTCCCGTGGACCCCAACCACCTAGTCTGCATCGTCCTACATGGCTTAAACCAACAGTCAGAGACTTCATACATTGGTGCCATGTTTTAGTCTGGCCACCTCGGGCCTTTTTCCAGCCTGAACCCACCTCAGCCAACATTGTGTGACGAGGCAATCGGTGACTAGGCATACGTAGTACGTGTCCCAACCATCTCAGTCGATGAAGGTTCACAACCTCGTCGACTGACTTACCTCTTCTCCCTAAAACTCTACACCTAACTTCTGCATTACTCACATGGTGACACCACGGAATACGTCCTATACTACGAAGGCAACGGTGGTCAAATACCTGTAACCTTCTCATGTCTTCCACTTTCAATGGCCATGTTTCACAGCCATACAGTAGAACAGAGCGGACTGCTGTGCAGTACACGCGACCCTTAATAGACAAACGAATATCACGGCGGCGCCATAGGTGGCGCAAATTGGCAAAAGCCAATCGAGCCTTTTGTATCCGTGCAGAAATCTCATCGGCAACTAACCCACCGGGTTGATCCTACTTCCCAGGTAAGTGAAGTGGTCAACACACTCAACCACTTCACTCTCTATTGTTAACCGCGGTACCGCTGAAGACCAGTCCTGGAGCAAAAATTTGCATTTGGGTGGTGAAAATCGCATCCCAAACATTCTCAAATTCCCACTCAAAGTGTTCAGAAGACTCTGCATCTTGTCAGCGTCTTCACCTAACAGGACTATGTCATCTGCATATTCTAGATCTAAGGAAAATTCACCTGTGTCCGGTCAACGTCTTTGTAATTAGGTGACGAGAGGGAAACCTCCATAAGAATATCTATGATAAAATTAAATAAGAATGGGGATAGTGGGCATCCTTGACGGACACCACTTGATGAGTATAGCTCCCTGGACAACTCACCATAGGCTCTAACATGCCCACAAGTGTTCGAGTAGAGAGCTTTCAATAAGGTGATGTACTTACTAGGCACGCCTTTCAGTGACAGACACTGCCATAAGACTTCTCGATCAACGGAGTCAAATGCCGCCTTCAGGTCGAGAAATACAGCTATTGTCGGGCGTCTGTAAGCATGCCTATGTTCCAGGACCTGGCGCAGTGTGAATATTTGGTCGATACATCCACGGCCAGGTCTAAAGCCTGCCTGGTTTTCTCGGGCTTGCTGTTCCCGAGCTCCACTCAGGCGTCGGAGAATTATAGAACTTAGGATCTTAGACACTATGTTTGTCAGGCTGATTCCTCTGTGGTTATCACAAGAGGACTTCTCGCCTTTCTTGAAGACTGGGATGATCAGTGACTTAGACCAGTCGGAGGGGATCGTATTTGATTCCCATATACTGGCTAACACTTCCGTTAGCCTGACTAAGAGAACTCTACCACCATTCTTGTATACCTCAACATGGTGGCTATGAGGATATATATTTGGAGTTAACATTCATAAAGTAAACCTATCCTACAAATATGTGTTAGATGAATGGTTCAGTTTTCGAAATAAACATTATTTGGTCTGATACAGCGTTAAAATGTTATAATCATCTAGGTAACAACATTATTTCTAAAAATGAACGCAAAATCTTATCCCTGTATTCATTCGGTAAAGGCACAATGGGATAACTGCAATATAATACAGTAAAACGTTGAGTATAAAACGCACTACGGATTCTCAGAAATATGCAGCACGGAAGGACTAGCTAAAGTTAGGGTGTCTAAAACGTTCTTTTCTAGGAAACCGATTTAGTTTCAATCATAGATAGTAAGTTAAACTACTAGCCATCTTTCGAAGTTATTAAAGTGTTTCCTTTCTGGATTTCCTTGTATACTTATAAGTGAGTAATTCTGTACTCTCATGATCTCTGACAGACTGAGTAACTATGTTCTGTTGAGGTAATTTTCTATTAGACACAAAATTTTGGGATCGTTCTGTGTTCGAAAACAATTTCCTAATATCTTTATTAACAAGGGTGATGTGAAGACATTATTCACCTGTTTTCATTTATATTTATGCGTCTTCGACTAACTTGATGTATTTGTTTGGCCTCCTTTCATTTTCATGCCTCATATATAAATGTGTTACCACACTATTCAAAATGGATAGCTAGCCTTCCTTAAAAGTAAAAGTATTGCTTTGTTTGAAGCCCAGTACAAATTTTACTTCATAAGTGTTGCATATATCTGACTGATAGAATGATTTTAATCTTGACTATAGTTCATATGCACTAATAAAGCAACACACTACTTGTTGCAGGTCAAAAAAACAGAAGGATGAACAAAAAAAAGTCGTAACATTTCACTTACACCCAAGAAAATATTTCAACAGTCCGTGAAATGACTAAAACACTTAGTCATCAGTTACGAACATCAGAAATTGATTTTAATCACGTGAAAAGTGCTAATTACAATCCATTTGATTCATAGAGAAAGAAAAAAAGGGAATTGTATACAACTTGGTTTATTGCCGTCTTCATTTTGGACAAGAAGACCAATTACTGCTCTCAGATTACATTTATTTACATTTTCCTAAAACATCTACGCTGATGATTAAATTAATAACATTGATTACTTAAATTATGAGCGGTACACATTACATATACATACATATGAAGACTTTAGAAAAATTATCTCCAAACTGAATTGTTCTTCAATAACACAAAACTAGTAGAAATCAGACTGAATAATACTTTTTCTTCTTCACTAGTTACGAAACCAATAAAAAAAACGAATAAGATTGCGTGAGAACAGAAATCAAATGAGTTGACTTTTTGAAAAACTTCAGAGAAAAAAGCTAGTTTAGAAATTAAAGTAAGAAAAAGTTAATAGGCAACAGACATTGCAAATTACACTACAATAAGAAGTAAGTTATTAATTAGCGAAACGCTAATTATTTGCAATGCAAATGAACAAGTTGTACTTGGTATTGACTAATTGATTCAATTATACTATGAGACAGTGGGCATACGGATGAGTCATATTGAAAACGTTTCCTACGTATCCAGAGATACTTCTGGCACCTGTATACAGGAATGACAATGAAAAGAATTTCTTTAAATTCATATACACAATAGAATATACAGGAAAATTTATTTCAGATTTAGTCATTCCCCAAATGAAACAATACATCATCATTGAGTGGTTACCACTTAAACAAGAGGCATAAAAATTAGTATGAATAGCTACTCTGGAAACATTTGAAATAACCAATTAGGTTTATTTATTTCAGCTGGAATAGCAGTTTCCAATCAAATAAAGAAATCTAGTCAATTATTTCAGTAGTTGTTAGGGTGAGCTCTACAATTACCTTGAGAATGATCAGCACGTGGACAAGAGTTCAACTATGATGATGAAATAAAATAACAAGGTGTGGCGAAATGAAATTTAGTTGGTAAAAAGATATGAGTACGTAATAAGGTAATCTCGCCTGGTTAACTAGTTACTAGCCGGTCCTAAGCCCGGGTAAAGAGGGAAGGTTGGGCATAGGGCTAGCAACCCTATCCCGTAAAACAAATCTAACCGCTAAAGAAACTTCAAAGCACAAACAAAATATAAAAAATGAAAACAAACTTATTCCTCACTGGAATCGAAGAGGCGAAATGACGCCAGTTGGTGAAAGCCTTCGGGAAGCCAATTGGCCGATGTGTCTTCTCTCGATGAAAGCGAAAGTAAACGTGGGGACATGGAATGTCCGTACGATGTTTGAACCCAGTAAGGCAGCCCAGATTGCAAAGGAGATGAGAAGGTATCACATCGAAGTGCTTGGGATTTGCGAAAGCAGATGGAATGGGAGAATCAATAATCTACTCCAGTCACCCAGACGACAACCACGAGCACACTGAGGGAGTGGCTATCATGATGTCCTCAAGAGCATCGAAGGCTCTCATGCAGTGGGAACCAATCTCCTCCAGGATCATGACAGCAAGATGGTTTCAACTCAAAAGGAAGGAAGGTCACAATCATACAATGTTATGCACCTACAAATAATGCACATCAAGAGAAAAAGGAGGATTTCTACAGACAACTTCAATCAACACTGGACAAGACGTCAGTTGGCGATATCAAAATTCTAATGGGTGACATGAATGCCAAACTGGGAGGGGACAACACAGGAAGAGAACTAACCATGGGTCGAGAGGCGCTAGGTGAAATGAACAAGAATGGAGAATTGTTCGCAGAATTCTGTGCATTCAACGATTTGGTGATTGGAGGCAGTGTGTTCAAGCACAAGGATATCCACAAAGCGACATGGATTTCACCAGATGGACACACTAAAAATCAAATCGACTTTATCTCAATCTCAAGAAGATGGAGACGCAGTCTACTTAACACAAGGTCAAGAAGAGGAGCAGATGTAGGTTCAGACCACTATCTAGTGCAAGGAACCTTCCAAATCAAGTTAAAAGTCTTCAAGGAAGCTGGTGATAGACCTCAATTCAAGTACAACACTCGGAAACTGAAGGATGAAACTACAAAGGAGATCTTCAAGGCAGCCATCAAGACAAAATGGGAGATATCGAGGAAGATCCCTGAAGAAACCTGTGTGGAAGAACACTGGAAGTCCTTGAAAGAGATGTGGAAAGAAACCTGCACAACAGTATTAGGAAGGAAGAAGAAAGAAGACAAGGAATGGATCTCGATGGGTACCTGGAAGCTGATAGAGGAGAGGAGGATGGTGAAACAGAAGATAAACCAGTGCAAGGACGCTCAACGACAAGAGGAACTGAGCACAATGTATAAAACACTGAACAAAGAAGTAAAGAAGAGTGCACGGAAAGACAAAAGACACTTCTACGAAACACTGGCAAGTGAAGCAGAACAGGCTGCAGGTAAGAGAGACCTGATGACATTGTATCAAATAACCAGGTTACTACCTGGTAGGGAAGATATCAACACACCTGAAACCAATAAAAGATGATGACGGAAATTTAATTACGAAAGAAGAGAAACAAAGGAAACAATGTGCCGACCACTTCAAAAAGCTCTTGAATCGACCACCACCTGCACTTCGTCCAGAAATACCACCTGCAGCCGCTGAATTACAAGTGAACATAAATCCCCCAACGAAAATGGAAGTCCTGAACGCCATAAAGCTACTGAAATATGGGAAAGCAGCAGGACCAGACGGGATACTGCCAGAAGCACTGAGAACAGACGCAGAGACAACAGCAGACATGCTCACACCACTATTGCAGAAGGTGTGGAAGGAAGGGAAGGTACCTGGCCATTGATTGGAAGAAGGGTTACCTTGTCAAACTGCCAAAGAAGGGAGACCTCAATGTTTGCAAGAACTGGAGCGGAATCACTCTCCTGTCCACCCACACCAAGCAAAATATTAAGCCGCATCATCCTGGAGAGGTTAAAGGATGCACTGGATTCAAAACTACGACCGGAACAGGCAGGCTTCAGAAAGTACAAATCATGTGCAGACCAAATTGCAACGCTTCGCATCATCATAGAACAGAGCATAGAATGGCAATCAGCTCTCTACCTCAACTTTATCGACTTTGAGAAGGCCTTTGACAGCGTCGACCGAGAAGTAATTTGGAAACTGCTTCAATACTACGGAGTACCGCAAACCTTTATCCGCCTCATTCAACAACTATATGAAGATGCCACATGCCAAGTAATTCACAATGGGAAGCTCAGTGATGATTTTGAAGTGAAGACAGGAGTGAAACAAGGTTGCCTACTATCCCCCATGATATTCCTGATTGTGGTCGACTGGACTGGATCATGCAGCAAACAGTGGGGAGCTGTGAGAAGAGGGGGATACACTTGACTGAGGAAAAGAACCTAGAAGACTTGGATTTCGCCGATGACTTGTGCCTGATGTCACATAAACTTGAAGATCTGCAGGCAAAAACTAACAAGTTGATAGAAGAAGCAGCGAAGACGGGACTTCAAGTGAATATAGAGAAGACAGAGGTGATGAAGATACCGCACCACCACCAAAAACAACAAACTCCAATCACCGTCAACTGGAGAAACTTAAAGGTAGTAACCTCCTTCACCTATCTAGGAAGCACTGTTTCAACTACAGGCGGGACGGACGAGGACGTCAAAGTCAGAATCGGAAAAGCAAGACAGGCGTTCATTAGCCTGAAACCAGTGTGGAGATCTTCTGCACTCAGCATTCGGAACAAGATACGGATCTTCAACACCAACGTCAAGTCATTGCTTCTGTATGGCTCAGAGACTTGGCGCGTCACGAAAGGGATTTCCAATAAACTACAGACATTCATCAACAACTGCTTACGCTCACTCGCTACTGAAGATCAGATGGATTGCCAGAAAGAATAAGCAACAAGGAGCTCTGGGAACGAACCAACCAAGAACCTATCACGCAACAAATATGCAGGAGGAAGTGGAGATGGATTGGGCATGCACTGAGAAGGCCGACTGAGGACATCACGCGTCAGGCCAGTCGCTCGAGTGGAATCCCCATGGGAAGTGACGAGTTGGACGTCCGAGGGTGACATGGAAGAGATCGTGCGAGGAGGAAATGAGAGCTTGTGGGCTGTCGTGGAACCAGGTTCAAAAGATCTCAGAGAACAGAGGTCATTGGAGACGTGCTAATGAAGCCCTATGTTCCACTAGGAACCCAAGGGACTAATAATAATAATAATAATAATAATAATAATAATAATAATAATAATAATAAACGTAATAAGGTGAGCATTGATAATTATTATAGACTAGGCTTGTAAAGAACTAAAAAGCAGACCACTTCGTTTTACGTTTCCATTTCATAGCGACGTATAGTTTTCTCTTAGTAATTTTCAATGATGACATTTCTGATTGTTGGAATAACAATTTTATAGGACAACTTGAAAATTGTGAAGGCTAAAAGAACAGATCTAAGCACTAAAGCGTATTTCTTCAGTGTCCTCGCGCTGATCCACTTAAATGACTTATTTCAATGACAGGTTTTCAGTTCAAAATGCAAATTAGTCTTACTATCGTCATAAGTCATAATAAACTTTGTTCCGATACAATGCAGGGTTACTGCGTGTCCTTAATAACCTCGTTATAGTATTGTAAAAATGCATCTTCAATAGACAGTCTCATAAGCCGACTGCCGATCATATGATTTCTTCTTTACCGTTTGGATGAAAACATCCACATTTTTACTGATCACTGAAAAACTAGAGTATCCCATTCTTATGAATTCTGCATACATACCCCCACGTCCATAGAGTGAAATTCAAAGTTACCCAGTAAAAAAAAACCCGTCAGGATTGATACAACTATCCAGATTAGTTAGATGGTTATTGCTATTTGATTACGCAAGCCTAAAACTGGATTGCATGTGAGCCATCACTTGCATTTACCGAGTTTAGATGGGTTTAAACCAATTTCAGTTTTCAACGGAAGAAGTTCAGAATATTTTAGTACTCTAATGTCCTTAGCTAGCAAGATCAGCTAATCTAAATAGTCTGAAAGTGAAAGACTAATCCTTGTAGTGTTACACCTTGTGTAGAACATCTACACTAATAGTGTGGTCTAAAATTTGATTGATATAAATACTGAGAAGTGCCACTAAGTACATGAGTGTTTCAAAATTTACTGAAATGTAAAAATGTGATAAACTCATACAAACTATTCTAACTTCCATTTACTCTTCGCAAGCATCGACCTAAAAATTGAATGGTGACATCCTGAAAGTCGAAAACATTTAGTTCATCAAATTTGGATTAAGCGGTTCGGAAGGCGAGTATGAGTTTTTACGTAAGACAGAGATTGTTGAATGGAATGTGAAATTGTTAACTGAACTGTTAAACTTGCGCTGTGTATGAGGTAATCAATTGTAAACATCTAATAAGTGAGCTGCATGAAACGAAACGAAAAAAGGAAGAAACAGCTATTCCAGAAAAGATTTGATTGCGTCTCAAATGAATGATCCAGTGCGTCTATGGAAGTACAAACTTTTCCGAAGTATGCATCGACTGAATCAAATAGTACTCTGGTGCAAACCTGAGTGTACTGATTTTTATTGATTTCGGATACCGTTTCATAAGTTCTTCTAATTAGTGACTTTGATCGAATTTCTTGATAGCCTCTTACTCTCTTTCCCACGTATGCGAATTGTTTTATAATAAGACTTTCTGAGTGGCTATGCCTTTACATCCACGTCTCATTGTGCGAATAACATCAGGATCATCATGAGTAGTTATTTACATAACGTTTAGATGCTAATCAAAAAGGTTGCATGCAATGAAGTATAACTGAAATATTACAAAAGTGAAGAAGCGAAAAACCTCAATCAACACTTTCTTGTCCACCAGGTAAGTATAATACAAATGATGCGGGTAATCTACCTTAGATAGCACTGAATCCTTATCACCTGTGTTAAATGTATTAGTGGACTCAGTACTATTAGATCGTGTGACCATATTGTCTGTTATTTGTTCACAAGAAGAAAACACTCCATTTGGGTTAATAAAGTCAGGGCCAGGTTTTGGTTCGATTACTCCAGTACCAACAGTTTTATTGTCAATTGAAAGTTTACGTAAGTCTTGTGACACACAACCGTCTAAACTGTATTAAAGAAATAAAAATATTGCTTTCAAATGATTAATATATCAATCAACATTGTCAATTTTCTAGCTGTATCAGAAATGATATTATGCGTCAATATAGGAGTGACTTGTGCACTATGGTAAAACGTTATTCACTATTACGTGCCAGACAACCAACATCATCCATTGTAAAACATTTTATTGATATACGTCACAGGATTGATATTAAAACGACCTTTACAATATTGTATAGAAGCTGTCAGGGGCGTATACTTAGGTTTTTTGAAGCGCTAGGTAGGCATACATCAAGCCTCTCTTGTATGTTCAAAACAGTTTGTCCTTACGTCGACCCTAGCCTGATAATGTTTATCTTATCGGATTATCAAGGTCGTCTTCAAACTTATCAGTATTCCTTCATTTGTCCTCTTATTTTCATTTTCAATATAAAATGGCTTAACAGGTAAATGTGTGATCAGATGTTCGAAATGTAAGGCGAAAATACATAACATTTTTTAGATAAACTACCTCTTTTGATTAGGTTATTCGAACTGTTAGATTTATTCACTAGATAAAAGCACAGAGCGATCCAGTATGACTTGTCCGATAACGTTTGGAATGAGAATTATTGCTCTTGATTCGATCAATGTAGTCAAACAACTTTTGACATCTGAATTTTACACTTCTAAAATAATATTTAACATATCTAAAGTGCGTTGCATTTTAATGGTAAATTTCAAAACAGTTCAATGGATATGGCATCAATATAGTTGCGTTCATACTTCTAAGACTTATTACAGTGCAAGTAATTGCTAAAGAGCAGACAGAAAAACAATAAAAGTCCCATAAAGTATCAGACGTAACTTAAATCCAACGTTAATGATAGGATTCAGTTGAATGAGTAGATGGCAGGAATTGAAATCTCTTTTTGGAAATCGTTGCGCTAATAATGTATCTCTGACAATATTAAATTCAAGAACAAGATATTCAGCGAAGAGACTCTTTCCAATGAAATTATTTCCAAGCTGTACATTTGTATAAATATGATATTTGAAAAATTATATCCCGTGAGGAAAACTAAACACTATACGATGATGTCCATAATAATAAAATGGATGATGACAGGTATTTGTGATTATGATAACAGTTGAAGTATGAAAGATAACAAAGTAGGTTACGTAATATATGAAATGGTTTAGAGAAAGTGTATAGCTCAGAAAAGGGTGAAAAAATAGATGAAAGTGGTAAGTCAATTAAGTACTATGTAATAGAACCAGACAAGTTGGTCAAGATGAAACCAATGTTTTCTAAAAGGATTACGATAACTAAGTAAAATAACACCGGAAACTAAACAAAGTTAGGCAATTATAATAACAATAATGGTGATAAAGGAAGGATATAAAAGTTAAATTAACAAAGGGAGAGGGGGAACTAATGGGGGTAGGAAAAGGTCATGGCTATGGTAAACACAGTGTCTGTACATACTTCTTTTGTGCACATATATCAGGTTTTAGTGCATGAACAGCTAAAGCATCCGCTGTTTCGAGGAGTTGAAAACGAAGGAAACGTGGAAGGTTTGGGATAATTTGATGAATAATTTTAAAGACATTGTCTAAATTTGAGTGATGGAAATCAACCAAATGTCCTAGAAGAGAACTCCTAATAGACTTCCTTTCACCTTCATAAAACCTTCGTCTTTGTATGACAGGACGGTCCGTTCGTAAGCTTTCAAGGTCGACTTCTTGGTCAATGACGAATGATGTAAACATCTTTTGATGAAGTTGTGTGAATAGTCGTTCTTCTGCAAAACAGTCATCAAATAGTTTTATTCTTTTCTCTTCAGGGTTAATGTACTACTGTGTGTTGTCGTTCTTTTGAACAACGTTTTCATACAAGCGATTTTGTGTGCTGTTGGTTTGGTAGTTGAGGATTTGGACCGTGTTAGTTGAATTTCTGCATACTTCAGTTTTCAATTTAGATGAATGTGTTCTGGTGATCACAACATCTAGAAATGCAGGTTTTTAATTTGATTCCACTTCAGTTGTGAATTTTATGTCGTCGAAAGTGTTGTTGATTAACTTGTAAGTGTTTTTTGATTCGTTTCCTTCAATGATGACAAACGTGTCATCTACTTATCGGATCGAAAATTTTGGTTTGATCAACGGTAATATCATAGTTTCCAATCTCTACACTACTTCTTCTGCACTTAGTCCTGATATAGGTGATTCCATTGATGTTCCGTTTGTCTGTTTGTAGAGTTTGTCGTTACATTGAAAATATGTTTTCAAGCATAAATCAATTTATTCCATCAATAAAAACAAATGTAGATCGATAGATCAAAAATATCGAAACTGTCAAAGATGATTAGTCCAAACACTCGACTTTGAACAAGTGGGTTGAGTTCGAATTCTATTCGATTTACGGAGAATGCATCCAGCGTTTCCAAAATAAAACATCCACAACTTTAGTGTGACAATCCACCTTATCACGCTAAATCAACAAAGGGAGGTTTCGTGACTTGTGTTTTATGTTTATCAGAACTTGACGACAAGTTCTGTAAGATTTTCAGGTTTAGGTTTAACGTTGCATACTCAGGGGAAAATGTAATTTTCAAATGAATATTAACCGATAGTCACCTGTGAGCTATTTCATCAAAAACTACAGTAAAAAGTAAGGATCAAAATGCGTGTTGGATTCCCTTTGAAGTCTCTAACTACACACTCGATGGCTGAAGCATGCACAATGAGAAGGGTGCGATTTTTTAGAAAACTGTATCACTCTGCAAAAAGACAAGTGCATAATTACAGTCACTGTAGCAAGTGATTTCAATGCAGAAAGGTAGTTCAACACTGTTTTCAAAATATCAGACCATCAAACCGAAAGTGGCAGTTTGATACAATTGTGTTCACCTAACCAGTTTCAGACGTACACAAGTATACCGAATAACCTAGTGATCACTGTCCTCAATTCAACGGTTGATATAGCTGGACTGTAGTGCTATCAGTCACATTTAAAGTATGTCAACAGAAGAGCGATATTCATCCTGCAGCACATATCTGTACACTTATTAAGTATCGGTTCCAAAGCACATATTTCTGTGCCTCAAAGGACATAGAAGAGTTGATGTCAAAAGACTTTGTTGATGTCAGCGTAAAAGTGAGCATATCACACTGAATTTCAGGAACTAGCCAAGCGTTTAATAGTATGTGACAAAATCACTCATCTCGATGTGACCTGGCATCATTTTCAGTATGCCTCAGTAATAAGTAGTGAAGATTGTGACTATCCTTCAGAAAGGAGATGAGAAATGTTAGCAGTTCTCAACAGTTAAATCCGAATCAATGTATGCATGAAAACGTATCTCATCAGACTTCCTGCACAATAAAGAAAAGGAATCGTATAAATGTAGTCACAAAAAGTTCACAAACCAACCATGAACAGTGAGGACTAAAGACGTGAAAAGATGGTGGATACAGGTAAAATATAGACTGGATTTTATACCTAGTAAGGAGATTCATGTGAAACGCTGGCGGTGTGTAAAACTTCAGCTTAGAAAAATGGTTAGGCAGTGGTCACAGAAATGAGTGTAGCAACTGGTAGAAAACAGTTCAGTATCTCAGCGTCTTCAAGTAAATGGACTTAAACTGACAATTTTTTTAAAAGTTGAGGACGGTACATATATTCTGATTATTGGTTAATCTGATACTGAAATATTAGCCACATATGGTCCAGTCCAGACACCGAAAGGAAAACGTAGGCCCGACCAGCGTCGTGTTGGATATGAAATGTACCGTTGCAAATTTGGACGGGATTCAGACTTAGAGGCGTTCAGTATTAATCCCTCAGATGATAAATTCGCACCATTAGCCTTTCGACTAGGGACATACACCAATTATCTGAACCTGCCGCTCCTCTCGTACTAAAAAGAATTACCTTAGTAACGGCCAGATTGTACTTCACTGATAAATGTACTGATTAGTAGGGTAAAACTAACCTATGTCACGATGGTCTAAACCCAGCTCACATTCACTATTAGTGGGTGGACAATCCAACACTTTGGTGAATTCTACTTCATAATGATAGGAAGAGCCAACATCAAAGGACTTGTTTCAGTATTCAAATACAATATACAGTTCTGTTTTGGGAAACACAGGAGTTATCTCGACAGAAATAATTTCTAGCACTCCAACTCCATCAACAATCTGTGTTTCATTAGCTTGAGCAGTCTACTCCTGCCCGACGAATCATGGTTACGAATCCGACTTTACCTACAAACTTCTGGGTAGCCAGGGAGTATCACTAGCGCTCACGTAAGTGTGGCTCACTGCCAATTACATGGACTTGCATATGGTTTCTGAATGTACTTCGATTTCGATGACGCTAGAGAATGGTAAGGCACTTTACGGAAATTAGAAAATTCCCTTATTGAAGGCTGTCAATAAGTAAATATATAACTGTGTAAGGGCGTACGGTATGCCAGCCAGTGATTATCATAAAGGACGTCAGTCTTTATATTTACCATTGTTTTAAATACAATACTGGATATCGCTTTCTTCTGACTTTGCGAAAATACCTTACTGAAAACCCCCTTAATCGACTTATAATATGCAAATAACATACTGATGTTAAGTAAAAATGCTACTTAATACGGTTTTTCGAACCCTAAGGTACAACTGAAGTATTTCTGGTTGCATCTCTCTGACTTTCTTCTGTTTGAATTGTGAACTGTTACTTCAGGAATGTTCCATGTCGATACAATGCCTGAAAATAGGAAGCCAATAAGTCAGACAAGCTGACCAGTTAACTTACTTGAGAACTGCTATCAATCTGAGCAACCGCTTGCTCCAGCGCTTGGTGTAGAAAAACATTAGAGGTTGGGTGAATGAAGATATGGTACTTATTCAAGAAGTTTTTGATTACTGCGCTGACTTGTGTACAGAAGTTTGCAGTTCTGAGTTAGGATCCATACGACTCTGCTATTTTTCCCAACTGATAACAGCAACGCAGAGGCATATATAATTTCAGTCTATTTTAATCTTAGCACCATATAATCCTTATTTCCATAATATACCAATTTCATCTTACCTAATAATGTTTTACTACTACATATAGAGCTATTTTCGTTTTTATGTTTTTAAGTTTGCTAATTATCACGTTGATATGATGAAAAAATTTGATGTCAGATGGTCATGCTGACATCTTTTTGTCTGAAAAGAGGCACGTATATTTGAAAATAGAAGATTCAAAGGTAAAACTACAGAACTATTGTGACAGTTATCACAATATATTTATAGACTATGATCACATATGCTTAAAGCTCACCTCTATCAAAATTGTTTACGAAAGAACAGTAGAAGAAGCAATAAGAAACTTATAACGAATGGATAGAGAACTCAACTGGACTTCGAAATTAGCATTCAAACTAGCTGATACACGAAGAATTTATCTGCATGGCTCCAAACAATGTAAACATCGGAAATAGTTAAAGTGTAGACTAAATAAAGGCCTTTGAAATGGTTGTCAGAAGAGACGGATAATGAATAAGAAATGTATACAGACTGTGTTATGATTAGTCTGGTTTGTAAAGGAAGATGGTTGGCAACACATCTGCTAATGAAGACAGTTCGATGATAAACACTTTAACAATGTAGCGGAAATGCCAGGACACTGAATACCATAACCATCAGCCACTAACTAACCCTCCAATCTAAATTCAAAGTAATCAGATGAAAGTATGAAATTTCAAAAATTCAGTTAACTGCACGGTGCATATTTGGTGAGGGTAAAACAGTCGAAATTAGTAATCGAAGAATGCGAAAGATGAGGCTTAGAACCTCCTACAGTGGTGATATCCCCTTTACGGTTTGATCATTTTATAAATATAAATTGTTTACTATCGGCCATGTCTTTCACCTTTCGTCTTTTCCGTGTAGTTCTTTGCTACTACTGGCATGAATAATTTAACCACTTTGTTTTTATTTTGTTTGGTCGCCCACCTGTGAGATGTAACTCAAACGTGATAAGTAAAGCTGCTTGTCTTGAATTTAGGTTTAGAGAGGTGGGTTCAGAGATAAATACCGATTATTACAGTAAATTGATTGAATCTGCTGAGACAGTGGAGCTGAGGCTCATTGGTTTAAAGGGGTGGTTTTCAACCAATAGATAGCGGGTTCGAGCCCCGCTCCCCTTCCCGTCTATATATAGCCAAGATATTTAGTGTCATGCTACAAATAAGGTTAATACAAAAACTTACCTTCTTCCACTATGCTTATTTACATTATGAGGTACATTCAAATTCTGAAAAAAGAAAACAAAGATGTCACACATTTAGGTGTGTCGAAAAGAAAACAGACTTTTACTTGGTGAAGTACGATTGCTATAGATATCTTTAAACACTCAATAATATATATATATATATATATATATATATATATATATATATATATATATATATATATATATATATGTATATATATATACCCGAAGTACTTTTTTATAGAAAGAGTATTGATTTGTTTTCTCTTCATTCAAATATTCGTTCTCCTTATCGTAATAATGATGTTTCTAATTGGAAATTGGGCGGAGCCTATTTTATCACACTGACTAGATGAATGAATTGATTAGCATCCTTAAATATGTTACGAAGATGATCAATAAAAGGTCCATTTTTCTAAGTTAGTCGTATTTTATGTCATCAATTTCCATTGTGCTCCACATTTGTTTTTGCATGGGATGGGTTAATCGATATATATATATATATATATATATATATATATATATATATATATATATATATATATATATATATATAGTATATGGTAACGACAGAATTTTACTGACCAAGCGGTAACTAAGCTTAGTGAATAAACACTCAAGTAAACTGAATAGGACGCTAGGTGACTGAATGCAAGCCAGTCGAAGGCAGTATATGTTGAAGTATTTATCGAAAATCCTACTGGTTACTCAGGATTGAGGTCGAAACTAAAGGTATAGGTCTGGAACCCGCAACAGGTTTATATACTGGGTGATGAGACAAACTTATTGCGTGATACTACTTGGTTGTTCAGGTCTCATCAGTACACAGAATCCGATGCATCGCTATGACTTCCTGATTGAAGTTGGAATATCTAATCCAATAAATTATATAAAAGACTATCATGTTAGAAACCTAGGCACAACAATTTATATTTATTTTTCATAACCACCAAGAGTAAATAAGTAAGAATTCGTAAACCTTAATTCAAAGGGAAACGCTGAAAAATGGTATTGTTGTAACCCCAACCCAAACAGAGTGCAGGCATACATTTAATTTACCCAAAGGAAACAAATCAGTCATATTGGGAACTAATACAGACTGGAGTTGGTGGATGGGTATTACGCATCATTGCAATAAATCTTGATCAAATCCGATCTCGAATATAACGGGATAGAATGCAGATATACTGAATATCTATGACAAATCACTTCAAGTAACTATATTGGTTCATCAATAACTATCAAAACAATATTCGGAAAAACACAGATAAACTAGTGGATACGCTAGAAAGTATGCAACAAAACACATTAGGCTGATAAATCTACTGCTGATTTTTCTTTAATAAAACAATGGAATACTATTATCTCATCTATCGTTATATACAAGAGTAGTTTGTTCGATAAAACACAGTAAAACAGTATTCTTTATTTATTCCTCTATTTATTATTCAGTACCCAATTCTATTTCACTGTGTGCTTTAATAAGTAAACTAATCTAATCTGATATGCAATTATACTCAACCATAATTCCAGGTTATACACTTATACAGATGGTAACATGACATTTTCTCTTAAATTATGTTGTTTAGAATTGCGAAAACTAAAAACGAGAACATAATAACTACTGCTTGAAGCTATTGAGGGTTGTAAATGCATATCAAATAGATGTACTGTTTCTTATAACAAGACAATGGGAATTTTTAGTACTGTTTCTTTTCAATAGACAAATAAATATAATGATATTCGGAAACAGTAACTCAGCTTATAAACAGTTGGAAAAAGCGTAAGAATTTCTTGTTACTAGCCAAGCATAACCTACGACTAACTGGAAACAAAGAAAATGTGAACACAACAAAATAAGTGAAGCTTGGTGTCGCTCAAGATTTGTTTAAGGAAACTAAAATTTCGATCAAAAATGTAACTATTTGTAACAGCAATAACCTATAGAATTTTAAATAGCACTATGATCCACATAAATGCAGACTGATAGTTTTTTCTGTACCATATGATTCAACCACGTATTTCTAATTATTAACCTATGAAGATCACATAGTTATGGTCTAAGAAATGCATAGCCGTACAGCAAAACTTGTGTGACTTAGAATAATTCCGACTATGAAGAAGGTTACATTACAGGACTTATACTTTGGTACCTTAAATTCTGGAGGTTTGCATAATGATTTAAAGTAAAATGAACGGGAATATGTGGGGATCAAACAAAGTACCCTTTACTAGTACTCTCTCAAGCTTAGAACTTAGCAACACCAATTATAAAACAAAGGGAGCATCTATATTTCCAATCACATTTAAAGAACTCTATTCAAAATTCGAGTCACAATTCTCATGCTTTATCAGATAATCCCAGAAACCTATCGGAAATTTGATGCTACACTTCAGAAATACTGACAGACAATTCTCCTAAGTTCAAATGACAGGTAAATAGACTAAAACCGAGGTATTCAAAGAAACCCTTCTCCGTAACACTGAGATGAAGATGATAAAAAACTTATACTTTTGAGAAATAACATGATGCTGTCACCCAAAAGACATCGAGTAACTTCCATTAGGAGATATGAAATAAGATAAAAAGAATGTAAAAAGGCACTCCTCATTTAGCAGACATTTCAGAGAGATGGTGTTTTACACCTGCCTCGGGAAAGCATACGCTGACAGATAAACCAAGGTAGAACCTGGTATAGTAGTTCATTTGTTCACATGGACACATTTCACAACAGGATGCAAAGAACAACTGCATGGTGAAGCAATGATATCAAAGGCTGTAAGTGCGTGAGAGAAAACAGCATAAACGGGTCAATAAGACTATTCGGAAACTCCAAAAATACTAAAGAAACCATATATTTGCATCATAATGACCAATTTTGAGTTATTTCACAGGCAGCTTCTAACCATTGGCTCGTCTTATCTAGATTACTACAACCAAATAGCTTATACCTCCCTACATGAAACAGACTAGACGTCACTGACTTCGTAAACCGGTGTTACTCATTGGTTTGGCCCATTTTATCCTTCTCCCAACATAAGTTTTCTCGGTGAACATCGAGCGGACAGTGCATCATGAGCGACATGTGACGTAAGCACCTCCATCAATGAGGGCTCGCCACCCCACCAAATGATTTATGTTTCTAGCAAAGCAGTAGCTGCCTAACCACAATATTGCTCACTTTAAGGTTCCATCACATACTGAAAAATGCTACAAAGGCTCTATGATCAAAAACCCCTGACATCTCCACTTAATCTACTTGCAGGATCAATGTCTCACAGCTGGTTGCCGTTTGATAAGTTTTCAAATATTTTTCCAGCACTATGAATAGATTAAGCTGACAAACGCTAAGTGTATCATTCAAATCTCAGCAGAAATTTTACCGAAAAACCAATTACTTTGGGCTGATGCAAATCTAAAAGCAAGTGAAGTGGTCAACATTCCCACTGACTGACTAGCTGTCCCTGAAAAAGCAGTAAGTGCTAACCAATCTCAAAGCTAAATCTTATTTGTGAAATATGTGAAAATGGGTGCAGAAAAAATACTAAGATTTGTGCTTAATGAGACTAAAAGGAACTGAATTTTCCTGCATAACTGTAGCTTGCTTGTCTGCAAACTCAACTTAAGACAGACAAAATAAGTATCAAAACAGGCACAGAAGTGCATCGGTCCAACTTGTCACACTTCACAGTAGCATTTAAAGGACAAGTAGATAGGAAAGGACTTTTATCAGAGTAGACAAAGGTGTGTGGAAGGAAAAGGAGTTTGAAAATGAAGACTGGTGAAAATATTCAAGCTTCAGAAGACGTCAAAGAGCCAATACGTTTGCACCAATGTGACCGATATCCAGTCATTTTGCGAAGGATCTCAAAACACCAGTTTCTGTGGCTTTGAAGACCCCAGCTAGGTAGTCTAAACCTACCCAAGTGGCTGGAACCAATAGTCAGAGATTCCATGCACTGGTGTCGAGTTATGGTCAGGTGGCCCTGAGCTCTCTTCCAACTAATTCCCACTTCCCCTAGCATGGCATGCGCAACACATTTCCAAGTCACAGCCAATGAAAGTTCACAATTTTATTGACCGACTTGCCTAGTACCCTTTGTCTAGCCTCTACATTGGCCATACGGTGATTCCTCCATATGTGAGTAATGATATGAAGATACCCACGGTAACATATCTGTAGTCTCTTCATAACGTCTACCTTCAAAAGCTAGACATCATGGTAGAATAACAAGAGAGAATGTACCACAGTACAGTATACTTATCCTTTAATAGGTAATCGAATATCTCGCCAATCGGCGCCACAGATGACGTAAGTTAGATGTCAAAAAGGACTTCTTTATCCAAACCGAAATTACGTCAACAACCAGCCAGTTCGGGCTGATGGAAATTTCTGGGTGGAGTTTTCAACGAGTATTAGCGGACTAGTACTGAAGTGTCATCTTTCATTTGACTGGTATGAAAAGCACGAGACACAGAATTCTGCTCGAAGCGTCCAGAAGGCCTTCCATTTCGTCGGTGACTTCGCCTAATAGGAAAATACCGTCTGTGTACTCTAAGTCAATGAAGTGATCACCAGGGAGTTGATAGATCCGTGTGTAGTCAGAGGTACTTAAATTTATAACCATCAATACATCTATGACGAAAATGAACACAAACGGTGAAATCATATATCTCTGGCGGAAAGCACTAATTGTCGTTAAGTCACATGAAAATGCTCCCTTTAGCCCGTACACGGCGGCATGAGTTCCAGTAGAGAGCTCTGGTCAGCGTTACATTCTTGCTCGAAAATGCATTAAACAGTTACCATCAACATCGGACTTGAAATTACTGTGTAGCGGTACAAGTTGTCAAGCATCTCATAATCAATTAACGCGTTAATGCACCAAAAATAAAATTGAAGAGATAAGAAAGTAAGTAGTTAAACTGGTGAAAAGTAGTGAAAAGAGAACGAGAAGCAATATTATTAGTATTTGTCCATTGGGTTCCTTGTGGAACATAGGGCTTCAGTAGCACGTCTCCATTTCACACTGTTCTCTCCAGTCTTTTGAACCTGGCTCCATAACAGTCCAGAAGCTCTCCCATTTCTTCCTCACACGATCTCCTCAATGTCACCCTCAGATGCCCAACTCGTCGTTTCCCATTTGGATTCCACTCGAAGGCCTGGCGCGTGATGTTCCCAATCGGTCTTCTCAGTGTATACCCAATCCAATCCATCTCCACTTTCCTCTACATATTTGTTGAGCGATGTGATGGGTTCTTGGTTGGTTCGTTGCCATGCCAGAGTTCCTTCTTACTTTACTTATTCTTTCTGGCCATCTGATCTGATGCTCAGTATCGAGGCAGCGTAGGAGGCTGTTGGTGAATATCTTTAGTTTGTTTGAAGTGCTTTTCGTAACGCACCAAGTCTCTTAACCATCATGTGGAAGCACTGACTTCACGTTGGTGTTGAAAATCTGGATCTTGTTCACGCTCAATGCTGAGTGCAGTAGGTCTCCACACTGGTCTCAGGTTAGTGAAGACCTGTCTTGCTTTCCTGATCCTGGCTTTGACATCCTCATCTGTGCCTATGCCGCCTGTAGTTGAGACGATGCTGCTTTGCCTAGATAGGTGGAAGAGGCTACTTCCTTTAAGTTTCTCCCGTTGATGGTGATTGATGTTTGTTGTTGTTGGTGGTGGTGATGGTGTTGGTTAGGTATCTTCATCACCTTTTCCTTTTCTGCTTTCACCTGAAGGAAGTCCCGTCCTCGCTGCCTCTTCTGTCAAATTGTTAGTTTACGCCTGTAGATCTTTGAGGTTGTGCGACATTAGACACAAATCATCGGCAAAATCCAAATCTTCCAGGGTCTTCTAATCGATCAAACAGCGTATGCCCATCTTCTCACAGCTCCTCACAGTTTGTTGCATGATCCAATCGACCACAATCAGGAAGACCATCGGTGATAGTAAGCAGCCTTGTCTTACTCCTGTCTTCACTTCAAAGGCATCACTGAGCTTTCCATTGTGAATCACTTGGCATGTGGCGTCTTCATATAGTTGTTGAATGAGGTTGATAAAGGTTTGTGGTATTCCGTAGTGTTGAAGCAACTGCCTGGCAAATTACTTCTCGGTCGATGCTGTTGAAGGCCTTTTCAAAATCGATGAAGTTAAGGTTGAGAGTTGACTGCCATTCTATAATCTGTTCTATGATGATGTGTAGTGTAGCGTTGCAATTTGATCCGCACATGATTTGTTCTTCCTGAATCCAGCCAGCCAGCCTGTTCCGGTAGTAAATTTGAATCTTTTAGTCTCTCCAGGATGATGCGGCTTAATATTTTGGTTGGTGTGGACAGAGTTGGAGCATGATGCCTCGCCAGTTCCTGCAAAAACTCATGTAACTCTTGTATGGAAGTATGACAAGGTAACCCATCTTCCAATCGATCAGCAGGTACCTTCCCTTCCTTCCAGACTTTCTGCAATAGTGGTGTGGGCATGCCCACTGGTGTCTCTGTCTGTTTTAAATGCTTCTAGCGGAATTTCATCTGGTTATGCTGCTTTGCCGGATTTCAGCAACTTTATGGAGAAGAAATAAAACATCATGAAATTTGGTCTCTTGAATGAGACGAAGATATTGTGTGGATGCATTGTTACCATTGAGATCAACTCTGAGTTAAATCATACAGAGTTTTCAACGGTCAAAGATTACATGGACTGATGTTTTGTTTTCAGATGGCCACCTCTAGCCTTTTCCCGTCCTAAATCTACTTTATCTAACATTACGCGACTACCCAGAGGGTGGCTGGGACATGCGTTATGCATGTCTAGCATACAGAACTTTTTGACCGCTTCACTTTATCATCAATTGAATTGCAGTAAAAGATATTAGATGTAAATGTGGTTAGACAGGAAGTTGCTTCAGAGGTAAATCATGGATTGCATTACTTTGTTTAACAGTCAAATCGAGATATACTCATCAACCTTGTGCGGGTTAATGTATTATGCAGCGAGCCGTACGTACCATGCGGCGGCTAATAATACTAACACGCTGACTAGACTTCGATAAGTGGAACTGGTTTCAAAATCGTTACCAATCGAGTAGATGTCAAGTGTCTAGGCTGATGAACCTTGGATAAAAGGATATCAAACAAGCCAGCTAGCTCAAAATTATGAATAACACCCTGATCTTGACAATAAAGAAACAATGAAAAAATCAATAATCTGGTGACAATTTATATTTGACCGATGGCTACTGGGTTTACGATACATAAAGCTTTCAGATGTGCTTTCAAAAATGTTTTAACATTAATTGGTTTTCTTAAACTGCAACACTGCTGGTGAAAAATTGACTTGAATGTGTTTTAGAAGTCATATAGAGCTACATTTCACTAGTTGCAACTAAGAAATACCAGTTGGAGGAAAATATGAAAGCAGTCTTACCAACACGTAATATCAAATATTTACTTGTTACCTCAATATGCATTAACCCAACTTTACGATGACCAGGTTATTCAGGAAATACTAATTTCCAGTTGTAAAAGGTTGTGCTTATACGAATTCGAAATAAACATCCAAAATACTAGTTTGAGAACAGATCACTAATCAGGGGCGTAAAAGAAGACATTGGAACATTTGGTGTAAACATTTTAAGACCGACTGACACGAAGTTACATCAGACTGATGTAGAAATATATATATATATATAAACCCAAATGCAACTGAGCAGATATTAAGAAAATTGATTCCAATTTCCGTTGTAAGTAGTATTCCATCTTACTTTTGCTTCTATACTGTTCTCAAATCTACCAGTAGCCAAAGAAGACAAATGCATAGTATTATTTTGTCCTTTGCCTTCTAAAATGAAATTACTAGACGGCATTGAAGGAATACATTCTTGTCTATGAGGATAAACTTTGTTACTGGATAGAAATTGAGGCCTAATTGAACAAATACTACTATTGGCCAAATCACCGGCCATAACTGGGAGCTCATACGATTTTTCGTTGGAATGAAAAGATTTACTGATTTTATTGCAAGTAGATGTCCCATTGGATTGTTTATGTGATATGTTTTCTCCAGTATCAGCTTTTTCACAAAAGTTGGTGAATCGAACAATACAGAGGTATTTTTCCTTTTTGTGACTAATATCACAACTTTTTTGACTTTCAGATGATGAACTTGACTTTTGGCGTTGTGCTACTATGAATTCATACGTTGTCATACCTTTTATGTCTAAAAATAAAGGGTAAACAAAATGAAAACATTTTAAACGCTGAATATCAAAAGAAATACTTAGATAAAACATTTAACCCAGTATGGCTGACTTGATGAACATACCTAAATAAAGACTTTTTTTCAATACCTTTCTTCAGTACTCTCCTTGAAAGTAATGTCAGCAATCATATTTCATAGAGGGTTTTGAATAAGTATTATTTATTCTGCATCTATGAATGCAAGCATGCTTGAACGGAGATATTATCAAATTACCCAAGCGTTGGATAGAGTCGACTTGCAAAGAATTTGGTGATAAAACTTATCGGTATCAACTTCCTGATTGTTTTCAGTAGTTGATATATCAGGCGGTGTTTTAATTAACTGTCAAAATTTATTGTACACAATCAAAAATAGTTATTCAAACACTTCTGAAATATGCTGTAATCGCAATCGAATGGTACATGTACAGATTAACGCCAGATCGACAGCTGCTGCTTTGACACAGTGGTTGAGACTGTTTATTACAATGACCCAACTGGAAACGCGGGCTGAAACGTTTGTTTTTTGAAGGCCTCCTATGCCAGAAAGATCACTTGGATAGTAATAAGGCAAATGACAATTACCGTTATAGCGTAAATCATTACACTGAACTGGTGGGTTAGAGGACAAAGTCTTACTGCTGACAAAACTGGGTGTGACAGCCGTAAGGTGCTTCCCACGGATGACCATGCTGATGCTACTTTTCTATGGAAAGTGGGGGTTAGAAAATATCAGCCCCAAAATTAGAGCACTCCTTTCTATTCTGCTGTGTACTAGTGCCAGTGGTATGCATTTATAGATGAACTGGGAAAAAACAAACCAAAACATCGAACTTCCAAAAAGACAAAGTGACTGGCCTCAAACAGATGTCCCTTGGGTTCTGTAGTCAAACACCACTATTACTAACAACTCTTTTTCAGATACCTTGAAAAGAAGTAGCCTTCCACAGTGTGGGTAGTGTAGAAGTGTTAAGCGCCCTCACAACTCCTTGAGCACTTTCAGATTAATTTTGCTGATATTCGTTTTTAGGATCAAACCTTACAGCCTTCGGTGCAATTCCCAGTTACCGTTAATAAAACTAGTTTATGAAACCTTCTGCAACTGAATACAGCTTCAAAATTACGTAATCGAAATAACAGTTAATGCAAAACCCGTTTTGAAATCCTGAATAAAGCCAAAACAATCACTGCACTATTTTCAGAATACAAGATCCATCATGATTGGAATATTGTCAGCAGCAATAGTTATTTAATTAGTAAGACGTGAAAACTTACGTAGATAAATATGAAAGATTATTAAATGCAACAGAAACGCATTAATAGCGAAGGTAAGCATACACTCGGCAATAACAATGACAAGGAATACCACGCCAGATACACCGAGACCAAATATACGGAAAACGCCATCTGTAAATTGAAATTAAGGTGTAGTTTGTTGGTTTAAAAAAATGAAGCACATGAATATCAGTAAAAGTACATCACAAGACAAAACTTTGGTGAATGAAATAATGTAACCCGAAAACAGATAATCATAACCACTGAGGGGGCTAAAAAGACACACTAGGCACCCTAATGTATCAGAAGAAAAATAGTCAAAATGTTGGGTGAAGTAGGCAGTCATAACGAGAGACAACACAATGCGAATAGGATTGCAATATATATTTGAAATTACGACTTTACATAACCTTCGGAAAATTCTGTTTAAAAAATGGAAGCAATACAACTTTGGGTGGACGTTATTCCGTTGTAAAAGCGCGGAAAAGCTATAGGTAGTGAGAAGAATTGCATAATACTCAAAATAGAGTTTTCAAATGGATTCTGGGCTGCATAGAAAGAAAAATACAAATATTTTCTTAACCAAAGTGACGTCAGATGACAGCGAGTGGTACAGACTCATCTTCTGATTATCTGGATATAGAATAGACTATGTGAGTTGATTGGTAGGAAGTTTGACGATCTTGAATGTTAAAGTTAAAAGACAATGATCAAAACAGGGTTATCTGCTCGTTGCTGATTAGCAGTGGAACCTAGGACGCACGTTTCGTCCTATTTGGGACTCGTCAGCAGGATGTACCTGCATTGTAGTGGATGATGTCCCCGCTGAGACTCAAACCCCGAACATGTCGCTTCAAACCCCAGTGCTGATCCCTGGGCTACTGAATTACAACAGCCAACGGCTGTCAGGCGTTTGATAACAAAAACCTAATACAGTTTTTAAACGGATGAGATATATTCATTAGTGACTGGAATTAAAAGACCCAGTGATGAATATCCCAGTGTGTTAAAAGGTAATGACTTTTGGCCGGACAATAGTAGGTATTCGTTACCTAGGAAAAACCTGACTGAAAAATGATCGCTGAATGAGCGACAAGAGTTTTGCTGGTATCTAAGCAACTTGTGTCAAAACTAGTCACGTACTAGAAGGCAAAACGATAAAATATTCGCATAGAAAATGTGTTAAAAGTTTTTTGATAAGTTTGAAGTCAAAAAGTACTGCAGGTACATGAGCGTCACCATTCACTCATTTAAAACAAATAAATTAACACTAAAAATCAATACAAAATGCTTCACAGAATTAAATCATAAGTGTCACTGAAAGCGAAGTGATAGAGGTGGTCTAGGTATTTTTAAAATTTTTATTTTAGAGTACTGGAATAGGGTTACGGCAAACAAAACAGTATGGTAGACCAAGAGGTTATAAGTTGGTCAGTTATACTGACTACACATAATTTTGCAACTGATTTCTCAACTGATGCAAATACAAAAAAGCCGTGAATGGGAGTGTACACGTCACCACATTTAATAGTCATATGACAGAAGAAACGATCTTTGAAGTCAAAATTATAAATCACTAGGCTGCTTGAAAACAATGCGACAGATTGAACTGTCATAAAGTTAGAAAGTGTAGAAGGATGCTATTCTGGGTTAAGACAGTTCATTCAATCACCATATATCTTAATTGATGCGAATCGATGGTAAAAAAAAATCTAGCTAAACCTTGGGAAATGACCTCAGAAATGCTCTCAGTTAAATCAAGAAATTAGATTGAAATATTAAACCACTCAAAATATTCTATCGTGTTACTGTGTAAGATAAAGAAAAAAGAAATCACTGGGATAATGCCATTACTTCTAGGTACAAGACTTCAGGAAATGTTGAAGGGAATTAATCATTTCGCTAGGTCAACTGAAAAAAACGCTGTCAAGTCTCACGATGGATTAAGATGGTAACTGAAGCATCAACTAGGGTAACACACCCCGTATTTATATCCCAGAAAACAAATGTCTTGAGCTTATGACAGTCTCTCACTTAGAAAACATGAGATTTATATGCAATGTCCTTTGATGATTGCAACTAACTCCTATAAAATGGAATTTCAAGTCTTAGTATTACAATAAACACGTTAACGATGAGCAAGGTACAATGTAACTATGCCTGGAAATTTCTTTCACATATGAGGATGGTTATCGCATAGATAATTAGATTTCATCAATCCCCTGCATCTATTGCTACTGTCTACTCTATTCATTAGGTAAACATTTAAAAAAAAACATAAATGGATTGGTTTAATGCATGTTTACAACATTCCATGTGCATTGGTAACACTGAATTTTAAGTCAGTCACAATTATTCACAACTATATCACACTTGCACTTACTGTTAGCTGTTAAGTAATCCAAATGATCAGTTGTTCCATTATTAAATGTGTGCCAGTAATCTAGTAAGAAGAAAACAGGCATATTTATTCAAGAACCTAATAACTGACAGAATAAAAGGTAACCTAGCAACCAAATCCAAATCTATGTCAGTTACATTTGACATGCAAAAACCACCAACACCAGCAAGTTGTAGAGAACAAAATTAGTAAAGACAGTTTAAATCGACTATACAGTTGCTGGCAACTACTTACAGCTTAGAGCGTTGGAATTACTGGTAAGTACCTGGCAGTTAGTCATGAGGAGTCTCGAATAAAAAAATTATTATATTGTTGTCACACTCAAAAAAAAAAAATCAACTTCACATTTATCGATAACCACTTGCCGATCTAATTACGCTAAATAGGATCCTAAAAAATGACTTTGGACTTGATTTATTTTCTGTTTTTCTTCCCACTAGATCCGGACACCTCAGAGGACACAGTGGGAGAATACAAGAGCAAAGGACAAAAGTAGTCTCTGTAGAATACTGGTCCCTGCGTCAAGTAAACAGCTCCTGGAACCGACTCCTAGAAGAAGTGGTGTCCGCATCATCAACTGACTCGTTCAAAAGAAGAGTGAGCAAGCACAAAGATCTGCTGGAAAAGGATTAATATAGGCTCATAGCCTTTCATCCTCAAACAACAAAACTGAATCCAATTGCTAACAGCTCAACTTTATTGAGATGAATTTCACAGTCAACACTTCAATTTAATGAAGATATACGGCAATGAACAATTGCGCAGCTCACCAACTAACAAATTATTGAACAAATAAATGAAGTTTATGGATGACAAAATATTTACACCAATTAGAAAAAGCCGCAGAATTATCAGTTGGTGCTAATAAAATAAACACTTGCTCTTACTTCGAAGTAATCCCATTAACGATGACTATCTAGCAATAAAATTGTAGAATATTACTTCTAAATATCACTACTAACACTTAATTGATTAACCCTTTTCATAAGAAATATGTTTTAAAAATAGACACGAAACCGAGTCATTACCGCATCAAATCGATAAAAAAAGTCCACTCATTTAGAAAAAAAATCATCTATTATAATTTTGATTTAACACAGGTTAATAATGAACAGAATTTTGATAAGTAAACAATAAATTGGCGTTTTCCATTACTTTATGAATACTATTTAAAATATTATTAAATAAGACTCAGTGGCTGGGACACCACACTTGCAACCACGATTCAATTTGCACCCATATCTAATTCGACAAGGACATATGAACATCATTAGTTCAAAAATTCTGTATAAGTGGATATGCGACATTGTTTTCCAACGCAATATTCAACAACTTCGCTAGATTTCTCGTAAGACACTACAGACTGCTACAAATAGTCGCGTAGAGAGAGAGAGAGAGAGAGAGAGAGAGGAAGAAGAAGAAGAAGAATGCCACCGGTAAGGTCCCATAACCACTAGACGTTTGCGGTGGAGCTCGAGAACAGCAAACGTAAGAAAACTAGGAGGACTTCGGATCTGGCCTTGAGTGTATTGACCAGATATTCACACTTCAACAGGGTTTTGGAACCCATGGATGTTTACTGACACCCAAAAACGTCTGTATTTCTCGACCTGAAGGCGGCACTCGATGAGATGCTAGAGTCAATACGTCTGCCTCACTGTGGTTGACTTTCAGCCATGTCACCAAGTCTCTAACCATTGGTTTCTGTGTTTTCAAGGACCCCAGACAGGTAGTCTTCACTTCCCCACACAACCCAAATAAACAGTCATACTTTATGGACTGGTGCCACATCTTGATCTGGTCACTTTGAGCCTTCTTCCAACCTTATCCAACTGTTACTGAAAAAAGGTAACGAGTAATTCCAACTTTATTAGAAACGAAAGAATATGAAGAAAATATCTTGAGCTTCATTTATGAAGGTTGAAGATATTATACTTAGCAGTCTGAGTCTCAGTAGTTGCAGCGATATTTCAATTCACGATGCCCTAGTCGAAAGCCAACGAACTGCAATCCATGAGGTTAATAAGTATTGAGACTAACGGCGACACTATCAGGAAGTTCATTTAATCCGATTGTTTTAAACTTGACAAATAGCATGAATCGAAACAGTCCCAGAAAAAAAACTAACAATCATATAACTGTTCAAGAAAGCGACCCAACTGATAGCTGCTATCTTGACATAGTAGTAGGGCTTGCATATCACAACAATCCAACGAGCTACATTGGCTAGAACGCTTGTTCCCTAGAAGTCCTAACATCCCATAAAGGTCTGTTGGATAGCGGTAAGGCGAAAAGCAATTACCATTGTAGTAGAAATTACTACACTATGATCAAAGTCTGACGGCAAAGTCAAACTGCTGCTAGCTGGATGGAGTATGACAGCAGAAAAGTGTTTCCTTGGGACGACCAACAATGTTACGTTGATGCTGTCTTCGCTGTGGGAAGATGGGGTTTAGGAAACGTTGGGTCAAAAGTAGTAAACCCATTCCCCCTCGATGGACGCGGACGCTCGCAACAGGGATTCATAGTCGGATTCAAAAGCAAAAAACCGAAATTGCAAACGGCCGTGTGGTCGAGCTCAAGCAGATGTCACATGGGCTCTGCAGTCACGAGAACCTTTTGCTCTCTCTGGTGGCTTAAGAAAACGCCTCCCACGGTGGGCAGCCGAGAAGTATCAAGTGAGTGCACGCTTCCAGAAGTACGCAAGACACAATCAAACACAACATGTATTCATCAACTCTGCCTTCTCCCTTGCCTTCACCTCCTGATACTAATATTAGACCTCTTAAGCCTTACCAAACCTCTCATCCTGCGACCACTGTCAGAGATCCAAGTCATGGAAAACTCATTCCCAGTCTCCCAAGAACACCCCCATCGGCTTCATACAGGAGTGGTCCACGTTCGAACAATATAACCAAATCGGACAGAAAGCAACGTTCACCAAATCTCTGGAATCTCTAGCCATGGATATATGCTGTCTCTGAGACACGTATACACGACCTAAGCGTGATTATCAAATTGACCTCACCTGGCCATTATAATGAATCTTCAAAATTCACCTTAACAGCATTAAAGATTGGGTGGCTAGACCACATGCACTCACTTGTGTAGGCATAGCAATGAGTTGTAGAACAGAAAGCGAACTTCTCAACTGGATACCAGTCAACAGACGTCTATGTGCTGTTTGACTGAATGGGTCTATAAGAACAAAAAAGGATCGTGAGACCAACCGATCCCTGTTCGTAATCTCCACCAAAGCACCCACCAAATGCATTTCGGATGATGCAGAGGGTGAATTCTATAAGACGCTGTCAACTTTGCTACAGAAAGCAAAACATTCAGATGTAGTCATAATGGCAGGTGACTTTAACGCTCAAGCAGGCAAGCTCAGCCACCAATCGGAGAGGCATCTTGAAGGTATTTACGGAATCCCATGCCAAACAACCGACAAAGATGATCGTCCGTTGCAATTTTGCTCCAACAATCACTTGTTTCTGGCCAGCACTAACCTTACGCATAAGGAGAGACACTGTCTCATATGACATCCGTCAACACTAAACCAACGATGGACACAGATAGATCATATTGTTAGAAGCTGTCGTTGGAGAGGATCGATGGAGGATTGCTCCTCTCTCTGGATTACCACTTTGGACTCCGATCACGCGTCGGTAAGCGCTTTTCTATGCTTATGCCCTACTGGTAGCAGGAAACAGGAGGCAGTGAGGCCTATCTGTGATCGGTTGGTAGATGAGGACACCAAGAAAGAGGAGTCAGTTAAGCATTTATCTGAACGTGACAGCAATGCTCATCCTGAGGAAACCAGACGTTATATTAGGTCTGCTGTAGAAACAGCAGTAGAAACAGTTGGTAACCTACACCCGAAGGTTAACAAACGTCATTTGATTTCTGCAACCTCATATGAACTGACCGATGCGAGAAGACTGATTCCAGCTAGCTCTGACCACAATGAAGAGCGAAAGCAACTCAAACGTAAGTTGATCAAGAGAGTTGGAGAAGGTATCAGTAGTGGGTAACACCCAGCAGCTATTTAGGCTTATTAGGAATACTGGCAAGAAGACGATGGCGGGTGCAACCACCACCAAAAGGGATGGAACACTGATAACCTCTCGCGACATGTGGCCAGAACGTTGAGCAGAACCTTTTGAAGCACAGTACAACTGATCCTCTACAACGATTCAGTTCCCAAACATCCGGCCTACCTAAAATGTCACGTAGATGTCGGTCGTCCAACTCTCCGTGAAGTTGAGAAAGCTGTATCGAGCCTAAAATGATTCAAAGCACCAGGACCTGATAGTTTTCCACGTGAAGATTTCAAAGATGGAGGTAGGAAATCGCTATTTAAAGTGACGGAGATACTATATACTGTATGGGAATCAGAGATAGTACTATCAGACTGGTCTACTTTCCTGATCATCCCAGTCTATAAACAGGAAGAGAATTCTTCTTGTGAAAACCATTAGGGAATTAGTTTGACTAATATTGTATTCAGAATTCTAGCATCCATAACTATCCGATAACTAACTAGAGCTCAAGAAAAGCGAACTCGTGAAAACCAGGCAGATTTTAGACAGAGCTAAACGAGGGTGCAACGATCATATTTCCTACCTCCGACAGGTTCTGGAACACAGGCATACTTACCGGTCAGTGGCCGACACCTGTCATATTTGTTGACTTGAAGGGGCATTTGACTCAGTCGACCGTGTGGTGTTGCGGCAGTGTCTGACTTTCAAGAGAGTACCAAGCGAGTATATAACGCTAATCAAAGCTCGCTACTTGAACTCACTCAGCTGTGTTAGGTTTCATGAAGACTTGTCAAGTGAATTGACGACAACTAGTGGTGTCCACCAGGGATGTCCACTGTCACCGATACTATTTACATTTGTCATAGATGTACGAATAGACATAAGTTTGGGTACTATTGACTTCACAGAGGTTGGCCTACTCCCTGGATGTCATCTGATTGAGTTCGAATATGAAGGCGCTATTGTCCTTCTAGATGAAGACACTGGTCAAATCTAAACTCGGATTCATAAGACACGTTTGGTATTTGCCAACTCTCACCACCTGTGGTGCCGAATGGCGAGATATCGTACTAGCTGTTAAGGGATGAGTATACGGCGCTGCAGTTCGTTCTATCCTTTTATACGGCCATGAGACATGGCCATTAAAATTAGAAGTCATGAAGCGATTACAGGGTTTCGATCACAGATATCTTCGTCTCACTGCTCGTGTTTGGTGGGATCACTACGTGAGAAATTTTGATGTCAGGCGAAGGGTACCACGTAATACGGACAAGTAAATCGATGAGGTTGTGAACTTGAGTCGATTGAATTGGCTTGAACATGTACTGCGCATTTCGAGCCACCGCCTACCTCGAGGTATCATGCTGGGGGAAGTTGGACTAGGTTAGAAGAGGGTCAGAGGGTCAGACGAAGACTTGGAACCAGTCAACGGAGTCCCTCATTGTGGGCCTGACCCGTGTGGGGATACTTGTCAGCCAGTACTCACTGTCGTTGAAGCAGTCCCAAGAAAAGTTGTGTGGTTTACTTGGTGAAGGTGGAGCGGTATTAGATCCGGAATGCCGGGTATTGTTCGCTGTAGCCAAAGCCTATTTTTCAGGCAGCCTGAGAGGAGCCTCTTTTTATGAAATTTCAGTGAGTGAAGGTTTTCATTTTTTAAGGGAGGGGAGTTGCATCGCTTTATGTAAGATTTCAGACAGTCAGTTAAACGTTTCCCACGCACGTATGCCCACAACGAAGTGAGTTTGGTCAACGAGCAGATTACCAAGTGAACATAGATACGTTGAACCTTGACAGTTGATGGGGAGAGGCGTTCATTAATCAGTTTTGAGGGAGCGTCAACAAAGTGCTCTGGTAGGAGAGTTCATTTTCATGTGGTTGCGTTGCGAAAGACGTTTCTTGCTCGGTGAGGCGACCGGTCCCCCCCAGGTTAGGACATGATAAAGTCGAAGCAGACGATGTCAGACCTGGAGCTGGGAGCTGAGCCGAAGTTAAAGTATCTAAAAGTATAGGTTAGTTAACTAGGCAGTGAGGTGAATCTATGTTGTCAAGACTGCAATGCTACCTGGTTCCCCAAAACTTTGAAAATTCATCCAGATATATGATTTATAGGCTAAGCATCAACTGTCTGATCCAAAGTATTAAGTCTCTTCAAGTCTGATTTATGACTTGAATAAAATGTTTCGATTAAGATAATAACGAAGAAAATTCATTCAGTGAAGAACATACAAATGAACATCTTTTAAAAACTTGCGAAGCTCTAGTTCACTGAATAAAGCACTCAGTATTCACTCTGTATTACACTATTTTACGAACTGTTCTGACTATTTCCTCAGAAAAGAGATCTGAAGTTTTGAAGAACAACCATCTAAACCTGGAAAAAGCGACTCCATAGGAAACAGTTGTCAAGACTATGCTATTCACTAGCAACTCATACATTGGAAGAGAAAGCCTTTGGAGTACTTATAACTTATTGCCTGGATCAAAGCATTCATAATGAGTATGAATGTGTAGTTTCGTTCAGTACGGATGCATAACAACTTTGCAAGAAGGTATTAAACAAAATTTATAATTTTTCAAGGTCGAAATCTCATTTTAGGTTGTATAAAGAAAATATGATAATTCCTAAGAATAATGATGTGAATACTTTTATTGAAGTAGTTTTTGAGCAACTTTTAAATTCCAATGATAGGTAAATTCAATGACCTATGCAACACATCGATGTACACAGGGACAGCAAAATAGACGTCAGTTACTACCCATTAGTACAGCTATACGATGATTTACTATAGCCGACAAAAAGTATCAGCTTTATTAACTGTTATAGAAGAGTCAATAGATGACCTCATTCATTATCACTAGTGTAAATCTGAAACAAAGAAAATATAACACAAAAAATTCTGAAAAATACAAATTCAGTAACGATTTTCGAATCTAGCCAGAAGATATCACATTTGGTTCCTCGAATGTTCTACTTTCAATTGAAAAACTCTAAGCAACTGTGGTCGGTTTTAACTTAGTTAAACTGCTGGAACTGTAAGCACTCATAAATGATTTAAACTTGAATATTTGAACAGTCGAAAAATAGATTTAGTCCTGGTGTGAGCTAAATTATTATCATCATAAAGACAGACGAAGGTGGTGAACTTTCTTGCTAGACACGTTGGATATTTCTTCAATTATCCACTGACCACAAATCGACTTGGAATGGAAAAATGATTAATATCCACAACTGTTTTATTATACGCAGACACCTATTTGCCTGTTATTCATACACTTGTCACGTACGATTATGATAGAGAGAATGAGGTTTGAATCTTGATTCAAAATCTCAGTTAATGATGAGTGAATAACGATAAAGGTTGATATTGCACTCAATCATACAGTAAAAAATGTACTTATGGGCCTTAGGTTTCAGCGTCATGTAGATGATGATATTAAACATCAGTCAAAAGTCACTCGGAAAACATCCTTTAGTGCACCTAGACATCTTACCTTTTCAAATTATCCTCCAAATTAACAATGAGTGGAAAAAGATGTTTAACGTTAGATGCGTGGTGTATTAGTCAGTTATTAATGAAATGGATTACTTCGGATTTCTCCACATACAGTGTGCTAATTTACATAGCACATACATATACGACCTCTCTTTTTCATCTACACATAAAATAACTGTTGAGAATTGATTTAATATTCGTTATAAAGTGAGATACGACCCTTTGAATGTTACAACCGATGTGTGCGCTACAAAATCCCTGATTTAAGAGTGAAAAAAAGCTTTGATATTTGTCCCTATGGTTCTGTTTTTAAAACTCCAACTTGTGTTCTGAAAACCTCACCAAATTACCGGCATCACACCTTATTTCTTTACTGTTGAGGCAGTTTGTTTGACCTTAACTAAACGACCTACACTGGTGCAGTTTCTGAGAATAAAACGCCTAAAATGTAATTCTTAGATGTTGGAAGTCAATAGGCAAAAGCCTGGGAAATAGGTTTTGTGCATGCTGGCACTCAAAATTGAGGAGTACCTGAAACCATGGGGAAACTGGTATTCACTTGGTTATTTAAATCCGAGTCGCTCAGTTGCAAGGTAAGAGACCTCACCACTGAGCCCATGACTGACTTTATAGTTCTAAATTAGGTATGTATACTGATCATCAAAGGGTAATCCATAGATATAACTATCAACTCCTATATGATCAACATCGACTGAATTTTATCGGTGAAGTTTGGAATTTAACCACTAGGCTAAAAGACGTGACAATGCAGCCCAGTATGTCTGTCCGATTCGCGTACATTCAACATTTACCACGATTTGCAAAGTTATGATTTTTGAGTGACTAGTTACAACAAAACCTTACCGAGAAAAAATCACTGTTCACAGTTTAATGATGTTATAATGCAGGTCACAGTTAACTGTTACCGAAAAAACAATAGCAAAGGATCAATTTACCATGGTAAACCTGAATCCAGTACCCATGTGAACGATCTGAATAATACGCTATAGCCACGGATACAGAAAGGCTCGTGGATATACTGAGCGACAAACAAGCTGTAGTCATGATTCCAGCGAAACACCTATACTTAAACAAGACAAAAAGTAGAATTTTAATGGTAATTGCAGTAACCACTAAGCACTGTATTAAGTAGAATTCACTGGCTTTAAAATGAAATATTTTATTTGAAGTAATTCCCGCGCCACCAAGTTCACACACACCGCTTATATGAATCCTTCTACCACTGGAGCACTATAACAAATAATCGCTACAACAGGTTGAAAGGCATGCCAACTTCCTGCACATTGCGTCAAACAACAGATTCTACTGTTGTTTTTATCCTTTAATTGTATAGTCAAAGTGTATTATTCACCAATCGAAATGTGGTTCAATGAGTTAGGGAGACAGTAAACATTGGGTCACTGGTTCCAGACCAGGTAGTATCACTAGATCTCATATAATAAGTGTGGCTCATTGTTTATTGTTTGGATGTGCACAAGGTGGTTGGCTGCGTTTCGTTTGTTTGTTCGTACCAATCAACATTCCTTAAACATTTTCAACCTATCCCCGCCTTTGTAATCAAGAAGGAATATCAGTGAACGGCAATAAGCTTTACAGGGAACAAGAATACATGACAATTGTTAAAATACTTAGCAGAAAAATAGACAAATCAAAGTAGGACCTGACATAAAAATGCATCAGTTCAAGTTGCCGTACTTCACAACAGCATATTAAGAACAAATGGATAGAAAAAGAATGATCTTAAAGGTAGACAAAAGTGTATGCGAAGAGAAAAGATAAATGGATGAAGGTTAATAGGAACGTTCGAAGATTTGGAAATGAAAAATGGTGTGTACATTTGTACTACTGTCAGTGATTTTGAGCAATATCGTTGAAAGTCCCGAAACATTGATTCTTATCATCTTGAGGACCACAGTCAGGTAGCTAAAACCACCATTGAAACATTTCAACGATTGGCGTCACGTTTCAGTTTGGTCACCTTCACTTCTTTTACACCATAATCTTACCTTGGCTTACAAAATGTTTTGTTTAAACTTTCGATCTCACAGAAAAATGAACCGTTTTCAATCTCTTTTTTTATATTCATCTTAATGCTAGGGTGATGACACCATAAAACCTTGGTTTCACAAACCATATAGCAATAATTATACTGACGTCACAATTCTTTATAACGAGAACTTTTATACTTATACCCGATCGGGAAGAACAAGAATGCTAGCTGCTATCTTTTATTGGCGCATAATTTCGAAGTTCGAACAGTCAAATGCATCAGTTCAAACATAGTAATTCAACAGTAATTACACAAAATGAACGTACTCATAAAAGTGTACTGTTAGCCACAGTGTTTTCCACAAAGTAATCAAATAAGACGTGTACAAGTACTCGATATGAAATTTTTTTGGCTCACGGACAACACGGAATTATTAATAGGATAAGAACACACTAAATAATCAATAAGAAGCGGTTACGCCTGGCTAGGCACATCAAAATAACCGAATAGTGAATGGTTCAGTGTTTCACCAGGAACAGCGTAGTTCCACAATGAGCTGTAGTCCAGGTTTAGCTACTCTCCGTAATACCCAGTGATGTAACTTGAATTATGTATTTCTCAAGAAGGACATTGACTGCATTATAGTGAAGTATTGTCCCAAAGACCTAAATAAAAAGTTTCGTGGACATCAGAAACATTTATGCTATATAAAGTTGTGTTTATAAACATCTAGGCCATAGCTGTTACGAATGCCCTGGAAGAAGTTGAGCGCCGAGTCTGATTTAATCATTATGAGAGTATATTTTAGTGTCATCGCAGCGTATTTAGAAAATCAGAATAGGATTTTTCTGAAAGTTTCGATGTGTATGCCACATCTTCGTCAGCAGAATATTCGGATTTTTACTAAACATCAAAATATATTCAGTTGTAGGGTTATATTTATTCAGATTGATTGATTTTGCTCATGCATTCACTCTCATTCCATGCCATTCTTTGTTAATGGTCAGTAAAGATCTTAATTCTTATGACTGTATATTTTTTTATGTCTGTTCGTCACAAGAACCCTGTCAACTTTGCGACTCCTCTGGACGCCACATTAGACTTTATCTCAGAAAATTAAGTGTACAAACTGCTCACAAGACAGCATACTGAATCTTAGAAGTGTTTCACAGGACATAAAGTGAGGTAAATCTATTAACGATGTGCTGGATAACAGTTAGGGATGCCTAATCCCTAAATAAAACTAACTTAGGTATTTATTATCATTGTAAAATTTAGATGAAGCGCAACAAAACTTTGGTCCCAAAGACAAAATCTGCACCTGATATTAAGGTTTACGTCTAATGTACAGTTCACATTTAATGATGCGATTTATAATCAGACGGACAGAGTTTTAATGGGGTCTCCACTAGGCCTTATCCTGACTGACAAAGCTCGAAAGTGCACCACTTATAGAAACAATCTCGGAACTTTATTCGTATAAAAGGTACATTGACGGTACTTTTCTTATTTGTAGTGAAACATATTCAGTGGACGAGTTGCTAAAACGTTTCAATGATTGTCACCCATCTATTAAATTCACTGTAGAAGAAGAGTTACATTCAACGTTCCACTTTCTAGACGTAATGTAAAAGAGAAGGGATGAAAGCTCGATTCAAAGATCAGTCTATCGCAAACCAACTTGAACCGGCCAGTTCACTAACTTTAATAGTTGGGTTCCTTTTAGTTGTAAAAGAAATCCCATTCGCTGCATATTTTGAATATTGATGGAGCGACCTTTCAGAGCAATTATCTATCATTTTACCAATTATAAATACGACTGTACAGCTTGATGATGAAGTCGTTGGAAAGAAATATTTTGCTGATACATATCTTGTTTTTTTTTTGAGATTCACTCGGTTGAAGTAAATATACTTCCAATCCCATTGTCTTCTTCTGATGTCAGCTGACTATCGTGTTGAGAAGTCATTGTTCTATCATTAATCGTATCGCGTCGAAGCATTATATCGTTGTATGTACCGCCGATAATAACAGTGGTGAAGGAGATGGGATCAAAATGGGTTCTTCGAAGCTGGACAGATTTCTCGAACAACAAGTAAAGATTATCGAGTAACTATCTCGGTAAAGAATTTTTGCAGCTGAATTATCGAAACCTACACCTGCTATATCACCCCCTTCAGTCGACGGAATTGCAACAAGTGTAACAGAATTTTATTATGATCCAGATGCTAATGTGACTTTCGATACTTGGTTCCGAAGATTTGAAGACCACTTCAGAGTTGCTTTTCCTGGTCAAGATGATTCGTAGAAAGTTCGTCTCCTCCTTCGAAAACTTGGTCCATCTGAATTAGATCAGTATTGCAATATAACACTGCCACAGAACCCAAGAGATCGCTCCTTCAATGCCACAATATAGACCTTCGGACAGTATTTTGGTGGTCATTCGTCTTTCTTCAATGCCAGATATCCTTGTCAAACTCGTCATGAACGAGAACGATGATATCCCTACTCATGTTGGTATTGTTAATTGTGAATGCGAAAAATTCAAGGTGAAGTCCGTCACTGATGACCAATTTGAATCTTTGATACTCATAGGCAGCCTTCAGTCGCCCAAGTTAGCAGATATTAGAATGAGATTGCTGAGTCGGTTGTAGCAGGGACCAACACTAACGTTGAATGATATCGCTGCTGAATATAAACAGTTGGTCAACCTGCAACGGGTTAGAAGTTTAGTCCAATCCGGACGCCAGGGTCACAATGAAGTGCATGCGGTTCGTCAGACATCTTATTCCTTTGCATCCTTTTCTGGCCGTAAAACCCCTTGGTTGTTCATCTCCTGTTCATCAAGCCAACAGTGCATACAATACCAAAATAAACATGAAGACGCCGCCGTGCCCTTGCTGGAATTGTGTTGCATGGCATTTCGTCCATTCTTGTCTTTATAAACAATAAATGCAGAGATCTTAATACTGTCGGTCACAAAGACGAATTTTGCAAGTAGCACCCATCACAAAGAACAAGCAGGTCACCATCCAGTTACCATTGGAGAACAAAGTCTTGACTAGTTGGCGAATCTCTCAGTCTTACTGCTGCTTTCAAGCACATGCACCAGCAAGGAGAAAATAAATCACCGTCGAAGTAAATCACTGTCCAATATGACTACAAATCGACACAGCTTCAGAAGCCATGCCAGAAGATTGGCCGACCTGTCCAGAAGACTGTACAACCTGCTATTATGGCATGCAGTAGCCACTACCACTACCACTAACAGGTCAGTTATCATGTACTGTATCTTTTCACGATACTTCTATCTGACGCTGATTTAGACCTCTTAAGTCTCGATTGGTTTGAAAATCTTGGTCTCTCGGATATACCTCTATGAGCTATTTGCAATCAGATCAAGCGTCCGCTGAAAATCGTAGACATAAGCTAACGTTTCGCAAACGTATTCAAACCTATTCAAACATATTCAAATCCTCTTCAACAGTGGGCCCTAACTTTACTGGGATATGAATTGAAATTCAGTTTCGACGCACCCAAGAATTTGGTCCAGCCGACGCCTTATCTCATCATAGGTAGTCTGAAACAGCTACTATCATCGCCGAAACTTCCTGTGTATTGTCCACGATTGTCAAATGTTTGGAAACCAAGTTGTAGTCCATACATCTCTGTGTAACGAAATCATAAGCGCTTTTCATTCGGATCATCCTGATACCAAACGCATAAAGTCAATCAATCGCAGCTACGCGTATTGGTCGCCGATGCATCAACAAACTACAGTCTATGTCGACCGGTGTGTAGAATGTCAACAAGCCGCCAAGCGTACTCTACGACTGTCACCCATTCTCTGGCCAGATCCATAACGCTCATGATCGAAAGTTCATGTTGATTTCATCGGACCCATTGATGAAAACCACCACCTTATTTTGGTAGATGCTTACTCAAAATGGCCAGAAATCGCACTTATCAACCCACCGAATACCACGAGAACGCTAAAAGCCGTCTTAAATATCTTCTTCCATAGACTACCAGAAAATATTGTCTCGGACGAAGTGATGGTGTCTTTCGAT